ATTATGTTCATGTTTCATTTCAGGTTCCATTTCTTATAAATTTCACAATTTTCATCAATGGCTCAGAACCTGGACAACCACTTATATGAGTCAATGACTCATATTAAACACTTCCCATTTTACAATAGATAAACATAGTAGTTGTATCAACATCTCAACAGATAGGCATACAAGCTGTATCCACATTTCACAGATATGCATATTAGCTATATCAACACTTCCAATGATAAGCATATGAGCTATATCAACACAATATTTGACAAGCATATGAGTTGTATCAGTGGAGTCCATCCCCTATCTCCTCCCAAACAACATCCGGTTTAGAGGTCCATCCCTTATCTTCCTCTAAACCATGGAGTACATCCCCTATCTCCTCCCACACACACAACGTATATACACAAAGGTCATATACACAATCAATCAATACATAACGTTAATGTATTCTATCAACCGTTATACTCTATGACATATCCAATTGATTAGTTTTAGTTTGCCTAATCATCATGTATTGTCTACAACAATCAAAACTACCCTCAACCGGTAGCCCAAGCAATTATTTCTAAACAGGTAATAAAAGCTCCAACAGATAAAATATCAATGTTTTCAAAAGTGAGCGATTAATAAATCTAACTCCACTATTCAACCACATAATGAGTAAATTTCATTATTTCAACTCAATTCCATATAGCTACAATTTTTCCAAATTAATTATACCAATTAATTTTTGACAACAAATTAGGGCTTTTCCTCCCAACTCTCAATACCAACTCAAAGGTCCCATTATCACCAACCAACAACTATATCATCATTTTGAAACCCAAAATACATATTATGAGCCCAAAATCACAAAATCATTTTTACACATTTTGAAACCCTAAGTCCCAAAGTTTCCCAACTTCAACACTCTATCAAAACAAGTAAAAAATCTAGGTCAAAGACCATAAGAGTGAGTAGGAACCCCTACCTCAAATTCGGAGCTAAAGGGAACCCAACGTGCTCCAAAACTCGAAATTTTCGGATCAAGGTAAAGCCCTCGACGATCAACCCAACTTTTGTGAAGACCAAATATGTGGAAAACACCCTAGCTAGATCAATACTTAGAGAGAAGTTATGGTTTTAGAGAGAGGAGCTCTCAAATTGCTTTTCAGAAAAGTAAGAGAAAGAAAGAATGAGAAAAAGTGATTTAAAACTGCCCCACAGCCAACTGATATACGACATTCCTGCTCATGCTCGAGCAGAAAACACAACGCTCGAGCGTCAAGAACAAAAACTATGTTCGCTCGAGCGCAAAAAGGCCCGCTCGAGCGCCAAGACACAAGAATAAAGTAAATCCGCTCGAGCGCGAAAACCAGTCCGCTCGAGCGTAGATTTCTCCCTCTCAGAACTTACACCTAAAGGTACTACCCGCTTGAGTGTAAAAATCACACCTACAGAAGTTTTGCAGGGACACGAAAAACTGGGAGTGTGCAATATCCGCTCGAGCGCAACAAGACCCGCTCGAGCGGGACGACCAAAAACTTGGCAACAAGATTTCGGACCAAGGTTCAACCCACCTGTTCGAAACAAGCTCAACACATCCTATAACTCAAACAAACGGAATTAAGGATGACAACAAGATAGATACAACTACCAACTTCACGGAACTGAGTCCGGAATACAACAAAACAGTAAAGGGACCACCGGATCGCTATATTTTGCCTCACCAGCTCTTCATTACTACTCATAGCCTCCTCATGTCGCTCGACCGCGACGGCGCAGACAACTTCTTCTGCTCGCCAGCAAGTTGGAACTCGAGCGACACAACCTGGCGGCGTGTGTCCTCCAGCTCCGCTTTAACCGCTGGCAGCTCAGTGTGGGCACTCTCCCAACTTGCACTCTTCTTCTTTAACTTTGCAAGCTGAGCCTTGGCCTCATCTGCCTTGAGTTTGGCATCCCCCGCTTTCCTCAGCAGGGCCCCTACTAAGGTGGTTACCTCCATTTGAGCGGAGTATAACCCCCTTAGCAGTTCGGCCTCGTTAAATCTGGAGGCCGAGCATAGGGCTGCCTCTTTCACAATCCCTACAAGACGGTTTGCCCCTGCCCTGGTTGGGCCTTCTTCTCCCTCTAGCCGCCCTGCCACCGCACGAGCATCGTAGATCGCCGTGGTCACACCAATTCCTCCTTCTTGAGGTGCAAGCCCCCCCTGGGGCTGTTGCTCCCTCCTTGGCCCAGGGCCAGCAACCTCGTCCTCCACTTGCCTTTCGGGGGCGGCCTTTGCGACCCCGACGGCGATCGCCGCCACCACTGGCACCACCTTCATGACCTCTGAGGCAACATCCACCACTTCTGGGCCACCTACCTTTCTTGGGACCCGCTCCACTTCTCCCCCTTCAGACCCCGCGGCCGCACTGGTTTCTTTCACACTCATCTCCCCCCTCCTCTTCTGGGCAGACACTTCCTCACTCTGACTCACTCTCTTCTTCTTCTTCCCCGCGCCTAACGCCTCCATCTCCTTCAAGGACCTCTCCTTCAAAGGGTCTGTTGGGGGCGGCCGCGGCACAAAATCGCCCAAGTTTTTCTCTCCCAAGGGTTTGGGGCGAGGTTGAATCCTCTCCCTCACAACCGATTTTGGTGGTCGGTTGGCTTGGGACACTTTGAATTGTTGGGCTTTAGCAAGAATGGCCTGATCCTCCGCCTCCTGAACCCTTCTCCTCGCCTCTAACTCCGCTTGGTCGAGGTCCCCACTACTTGGCTTTGGCCCTAACCCCGCCTCAAACAATGCCGACGGCTGAACGAGCTCGTCCCATTTGGCCTTTTCTCTCTCCCTCCACTCCTTCACCCTCTTCACCCTCCCCTTCGCAGCTGTCCCCAGTTTCAGCTCCACAGACCTGATGGGTACTTTATAAACGGTGCACGCTCCAAGCCCCCCATTGGCAGACACGTAGAACCATCGCGGCCGCCACCCCTTGATCGACGACGGCAGACCCGCCACCAACCCCTTCCCCACTGCTGCCTGCAGAGTGACCCACGTCTCCTGCTGCCCCGAAGCCTTATAACACGCAAAGAATTCGTCTACCATCATGGCCTTCCCTCCATTCGCCTTCGGCCACGCACTTGCACAGGCAAGCAGGATCTTCCATGCATTGGGCATTAGTTGCCCCGGTGCTACCTCCAGACAGTTAAGCACATCCACCACCACTTGCGGCAGTGGCAACCTCAGTCCACCCTTCAGGGCTTCCTCATAAAGGGAAAACTCTCCGGGCCTGGCGTCAGATGGCCTTTCCGTTGATGTCGGCAGCAACAACTCCACTTCCCCAGGGATCTAGTATTTTTCGTGGATAGCCTCCAACTCTGCCTCAGTAATCATGGATTTGTCAGCATTCGTGTGCCAATGATCTGGTTCCGCCTGGCTGATTGGCTTTGGAGCTGCTATCATGGTGGAACTGTGGGATCGTACCACCGACTCCCCCACCCTCTCTGTCCTATACTGCGTCGCTAGCTCCACAGCATCATCATCTCCAAGCGGGTCCACCCTGACAATCGCACTCCCTTCTTCGGCCATTTCTATGGTATGTTTGCAAATCGCTTCGGCTGCAGGAACAAGGAAATTGAAAAAGTGTTACAAAGGTGTATTGTGAGTAACAAAGGAATTCACACTTGGAATATTTTGATTTTTCGTACACAAGTAGGTAAATCGAATAATGCCAAAAGCCCATGGTTTGCCCGTATTCCAAGGGTCCCAATTAATTTTTACCAGTTTGAAAACTTTTCAAAATCATCCGCCAAAACCGTCTCTTCAACACCCATAATGACCTAACATTTCGTTTCTGATCCAACGCCTAATCTTCCCCCGCTACGAGATGTGGCCACGTGTACGACCACGATGCACTGTCCACTCTCCTTACCCTGTCTTTTCTACTTCAAATCATCACTTGCCATGCCGCCCCTTGAGCCCCGCGCCAATCCGCTCGGCCTTCTTGCGCGGTCACCCCTCCTCACGGTCGGCCCCTTACGTCGGTCTACCCTCAACGGTCGGCCTTCTAGCGCGGTCCCCCACTACAACAAATTTGAGATTTAAAGACGAAACAAATTTGTCCCAAAATACATATATTTCGTCACTCAAACTAATTACGACAAAAAATTTTCGTCACCCGTCTTGTTGCCAAAGCGTCGTCGCTAAAAGGTCTTAGAGACGAAAAAACAAATTCGTCATTGAAGATGATAAATTTGTGACGAATTTTTTTGTCTCCAATACACTCTGTTGGAAACATACTTATAAGTAATTAGTGACAAAATATTTTGTTATTAAAGGAAGAAATTAGAGACAAAAGTATTTTGTCATAAATGTAAGAAATAGAGACAAAATAATTTTGTCACGTTTAATATAAACGAAGACGAAATGTTTTTGTCAAAGTAGCTATCAATAGAGACAAAAACAAATTCATCATTAAAAATGATAAATTTGTGACGAATTTTTTTGTCTCCAATGCACTCTATTGGGAACATACTTGTAAGTAATTAGTGACAAAATATTTTGTCATTAAAGAAAGAAACTAGAGACGAAAGTATTTTGTCATAAATATAAGAAATAGAGACGAAATAATTTTGTCACATTTAATATAAACGAAGACAAAAATTTTTGTCAAAGAAACTACTAATAGAGACAAACAAATTCATCATTAAAAATGATGAAATAATGCCAAAAAAAATTCGTCACGCATTGAGGGTAACAGTGACAAAATGTGACAATATTTTTCATCATGACAAATTCATTTAACGACGAAATAAAGAATTCATGACAAAATTAATCTTCCACCTAAGCCAAATAAGAAACGAAAAAACCTTCTTTAGGGACGGAAAATTTTGTCACTAATTCCATAATATTTTTTTCCACATTATATACCTATTTTATCAAAATCTGAATTTTAATTTAACAAATATAACCATGTTCATGTTGAAACCTGTTGAATATAACAATTCCATCACAACTTAACTTAACTTGTCATCAACACATTTACGAATTAACAAAATGAAAATATCCATTCATCATTACAAATAATTTCATCCTAATACAATAAAATAGTGTAATATCCACAAAATATACAAAAGTTATAACTTGTACAATTCCACCAAACATCCAACAATAACTAGTGCAACTTCACAAAATATGTGTATCCTTATCAAATAAAAATGAAAATTCAAGCAAATTACATCATTGTTGCACGTCAAAAATGCCACCCCAATCCAATCTGCAAAAAAATAAATTAAAAGCTTTAGTAATTAATTAATTATACAAAAGATTAAAAACATTAGTAACTCATCAATTTACAATTAGATCAATTATACAATTTATCCCTCTAACAAACTTTTTTTCAAGATTATGAGAACAAAAAATTAATTTTAAGGCTAATTCACAAATGATGCATCCCATTAATGTGACTTATATTGGTTCCTCCTAAGGTGTTTTTGTTGGTTCTTGTACAAATCTGTGCTTGTGTGATAATTTAGCCTTTCGACGGCCTTTTTTGAAGCTTTAAGTATAGAGAAAAAGAAATATGTTTAAGACTAATTCACAATTTATACATCGCGTGCACTTGTACAAATTGGATGTCCTATGCATGTTTCTATTACTTTCTAATTCTTCAAACATATATTCTTTTATAAAATTTGTTATATTAAAGTTAATACGCTTTACTAAGAAGTATGTCCATTTGTGGATGAGTCCCCTCCACTTCCAAAGTGTCTAGTGAATCCTTTGGTCCTCAAAAAGTTAACAATATCAGCCATTATTTCCCCTTGCTTCTTCCTACCCTCTTTAAGATCTTCTATTTTATTGTTTTGTATTTGTATTTGTTCTTTCTGTGCCTCTATTTGCATCTCAAGGCACTTCACATAATCATTTGTTTTAGCATATATGGTAGTGGTCCTCCTAATAGAGGATGAAGGTCTCATGCCAAGTCCCTTCACATAGCCAGACCTTGGCTTTAGGACTTTGATTGACAGCTAGTCAAAGGGGTTGATCCCGGTTGTGGAAGGTGATCAGCCTGTGTCTGTATCATATTTTCATATCAAATATTAAAAAATTAAATAATTATTAGAAAATTAAATAAGATTATAACAAATAGTATTCTAAAATTTTGTTAATAAAAATTGGAATATATACTTACATAATTACACTGCACTTTAGATGAGATCTACTCATGTGTTTTCTCATTATAGTGAGTTTCCTTATAAAACTCTGCTAGATCAGGTAACATCCTCTTTTCTCGTGCCTAATTTGATAGACCAAATCTTCTTTTCGCATGCCTAATTAGTTAGTTATTACTAATTTTTCACAATAAATAGAGACAATACTAAATTTTAATAATGTTGCTTTAATATTAATTTTGTAATTTTTTGGCACAACAAACTTTGCCTTTATTTATTTTCTCCTATATCAACTACTTTTTCGAAACAACATAGTACATACATAATCAAAACTTTATTAACTTAATTTAAAACTACATATAGAAAATAAAATAATCATAATAAAGAAAGAGAAAGAGCAACATTATAATATGAGCTAAGTCATTGTTTGGCATGCAGTAAAAAATGCTATGAAATTTTTTGACAATTTATTATGAAAATTGTTGATTTGTTATTTCTTTTATTTTTATTTTCTTTTATTTTATTGATTTCTGAAGTTAGTTGTGTTGCTTGTTGATTTTCAAATCACTTTGAAATGTTTTCTAATTTCTAAATTTTTTGTTGAAAGTTGAAGAGATGGCTAGTATTTCTAGACGACTTTATTAAGCTGATAGATTTAACTATAACTAAATCTTGCACTAAATTTAACACTAGGCATAATAACACTATTGAAAATATAGCAAGCCTTTTAGATAGTCATTAGAGAATAAAATTTTGAACTTTAAACCTTACCATTAGAGAAGCTCTAAGAATCTCAAAATATAGAATCTAAAAAAGGAGGGATGAGCAAAATCTCAATTCTAGGATCTCCTTTCCTCATCCTTAGACACAAGTCTCGCATTAATAAATTCACAAAGAATTATCAAGAAAATGCAAAGAATCGAATTACATGTAAAAAAAATTATTCCCTAAAAATTAAACAAGTTCTACCTACTGAAATGATCTCAAGAGCCAGCCTGAACCAAGCCAAATCAATTACTTTAGTTGTTCCTTGTAATCCTACTCTACATATTAACTTAGTGAAAGAATAGCATCAATATAAAGAACATGAACAAGGTCCAGGACAAATAATTTAAAAATATATTTAATATTTATATATACAATTCGAATTGCTAACTATCTTTGCCCAAGCCCAACCAAATCTAATTTGGACTTTTGAATTTCTATCCAAACCCAAACCGAATTTAAAATTATGTTGTCCAGCCTTACAAAATTTCAGACTGGTATTGGGCTGGCAAAGTTGCACCTACTCATCCTAAACCTGTCTTTAAGCCCACTTGTCTTGTCCCTGATTACAGCACCCCACTCTGTGATCAGGTTAAATGGGTAACCCATGCAGTCATTCCACAAACCCTTGTTTGGTGAGAGTCAAGAGACAGAGTCCATCACATATTGAAGTGTGTAAAGAGATTGCCTTTTGTAACCTTTTTCTTTTTTTCCCTTGTAAGTTGTGTGTCAATCTTCTTCTTCTTCTTTTTTTTTTCCTATATGCAGTGCAACTCCCTTTGATTTTGTGGGATTTATATGATTTTAATTTCTAATCAAGCAAGAGAAATGTTTTCTATCATGTTTTCTATTATGTTGTCATGTAGCAAGAAAATCTTGAGGAACATCTTCCTTGTCTGTGCCCATTAGAAGATCACAAACACAATCTTCATCATTTTAAAAGATCGAAATTCTTCATTATTTTAATTTGAATTTTTTTTTTAAATTAAATTTGATGAAAAGGCAAGTTCAGAATAAGAGAATAATTTTTAAAAAGTTAGAATAGTTCCTATCAAATCAAGCTTTTTAGTCAAATTTGAAATCAAATTCAATGGAAAAATACAGATAATTTGGCAGTTGACAAACAACAACTTCCGATTGTGTTTCCAGTTTGTTTTGACTTTAACAAAACAAGTTGATAAATCATGCAAAGTACACTGCTCACATAGGCATAAAATATTCATTCAAACCTACAATATTCACATAGAGATGATTAACAAATGTAAAAGACTACAACTCAAATGCTCAAAGCTCTTACAACATTAATCTAGTTCTTACAACTCAAATGCCCAATACAAAAACAAACAGCAGATGCATTTCATCCATCCATCAGTTCAAGCACATGAAGGGACAAATTCCACAGTGCATAAACACAAACAGAAAAACAGAAAAGAGAAGGGAGGGAGGGGGATATAAATATATATATATATATATATACCGAGAGAGAGAGAGAGGGAGAGAGAGAAAGAGACGAAACAAGGGTTTTACGAAGAAGTAAGAGAAGAGGGAGTGCCTTACTAGCGTGTGGCTATGAAGAACCTTGAAAGGGCCTACGCAAATATAAGAAATTGCGTAGCAGTCGAAGTAGTCGAAGCAGATTACAAATTGAAGCCAAGTCCAAGTCGAAGCAGATTACAAATTGACTCAATGGAAAGCGTGATTGCTTTGCTAAGGAAGGAAGCGGACTACATCAATGGACCTTTCCCCTTCACCTACGTCTCCACCGATTCAATTGATTGAAGAAGTGTTTGAAGAAACCTTTCGCCTTCACCTACGTCTCCCTCTCTTCTTAGAAACTCAGTGGCTTTTTTCTTTCTTTTTTTGAACTGTATCACTTTGTTTGATAATAAAGACATAAATTAAACATATATTTTTTTTTGGATAAGTGGTGCCAAAAATTGTGTTTGGCTCCAAAAATTGTGTTTGCGATATGTGAAATACGTATGACAATAAATGAAAATGTATTGAAATATATATATGTTTAAAATACTTAAAACATCATTCTTAAATATATTTCCAAATAACATAGACAATTGCAGGTCAATTGATAATTTATTTACGAAGCAATTAAAAAAAGACCAAATTCCACGTTAGTGTGACTAAATTTAAAAATAATATTCTAAGAATCATCAATATTATTCATGAATAAAATGTGTTTTCAAATTCTACTCTTCTAAAAAATATTAGAGAGCCCTAACTTGACAATGAATTTAATGATTAAATTGAAAATTTCAAACATACATTTATATATATATACTAGCCTATCACCTGTACTATGTACGAGATAATTATAAATATTTATATTTATTTTAGATTTTTTATAATATACAAATTATTTTTTTTAGATTTTTTATAAAAATAATTTGACAATCTTGTCACTAACTATAGTGTATGAGAGAAGTTGAAAAAGGTGCTGCAGTAACTATGCACGGATTATATCTATAATTATTTGTACGAGGGGATTTTGACCAAAGCTCTCAAAAGGCATGTGGATTGGAAAAAGTTAATAAATACTGATTAGGTGATTTTGACTAAATCAATAAATGTAGCCATGTGGATTGGAAAAAATTAGTAAATGTTGATTAGGAGATTTTGACCAAATTAATAAATGCTGAGTTTTTTTGTAAATCAAAAATTTTAAAAATTAAGATTGGGATATTAAAGCTCTCACAAAGCTTGGGGGATAGATTTAATAAGAATTTATATTTTTTTAGATATTTTTTTAATATACAAATTATTTTTTAATTTTTTTTCATAAAAATAATTTAACAATCCCATCAATAACCATAGCGTATGAGAGAAGTTGAAAAGAGTGTAGGAGTAGGTATGAGAGAAGTCAAAAAGGCTTGTGAGTTGGGAGAAGTCAATAAACGCTGAGATTTTTTTTTTAAATAAAAAATTTAGAAAATTAAGATTGGGATATTGGAACTCCCACAAGACATGTGAGTTAAAAACCATTTTTTCCTTATAGATAGATAGATAGATAGATTTAATAAGAATTTATATTTGTTTTAGATATTTTTTTAATATACAAATTATTTTTTATTTTTTTTATAAAAATAATTTAACAATCCCATCACTAGCCATAGTGTATGGGAGAAGTTGAAAAAAGTGTAGGAGTAGGTATGGGAGAAGTCAATAAATGCTGAGTTTTTCTTTTATTTAAATCAAAAATTTAGAAAATTAAGATTGGGATATTGGAGCTCCCATAAGGCTTGTAAGTTTAAAAACTCCATTTTCCTAGAAAATTAAGATTGAGATATTGGAGCTCCCACAAGGCTTGTAAGTTAAAAACCCCATTTTCTTATATAATACTAGCATATCACCTGTGCTATGCTATGCATGGATTGTGTTTACAATTATCTATATATGTGAATTGTGATTTTTAAATATTTTCTTTTTTTTTTAAAAATGTCTTCTTTTTTTCTTTTTTTATATTATATTAAAGTTTAATATTTTTACAATAATCATATATGTTGGACTTTTCAAGGAATTAAATGTCTTTTATTATTATTATATTATACTAAAGTTTAATATTTTGATAATAATCATATTTATTGGACTTTTCAAGAATTTTTTTTTTATGCTTGTTCTTAATGCATTAAAATGTTATTATGAGGGATAATAATCATATGTGTTGGGACTTTTCAAGGAATTCATGTGTTGGATTTCAAATAATTTTTTTTATACTTATTCTTAATGCATTAAAGTGTTATTATGATGGTAAGACTTGGTAGAAGTTAATAAATACTAAGATTTTTTTTTAAGTGTTATTATAAGAGATAATAATCATATGTGTTGGAACTTTTCAAGGAATTCATATGTATTGGATTTTAAAGAATTTTTTTTATGGTTGTTCTTAATACATTAAAGTGTTATTATGATGGTAAGACTTGGGAGTTGAGAGAAGTTAATAAATGTTAAGATTTTTTTTTTTTAAATCAAAAAACCAGGAAATTTCGATTAGGAGATTGGAGCTCCCACAAGACTTGGAGTTAAAAATCCCCTTTTGCTTAATATATAGTATAGACTAGCATATCACCTATGATATGCTATGCATGGATTGTGTTTACAATTATCTATATATGTAAATTGTGATTTTTAAATATTTTCTTTTTTTAAAAAAAATGTCTTCTTTTTTTATATTATATTAAAGTTTAATATTTTGATAATAATCATATGTGTTGGACTTTTCAAGGAATTAAATGTCTTTTTCTTTATTGTATTATATTAAACTTTAATATTTTGATAATAATCATATGTGTTGGACTTTTGAAGAAATTTTTTTTATGCTTGTTCTTAATGCATTAAAGTGTTATTATGAGGGACAATAATCATATGTGTTGGGACTTTTCAAGGAATTTATATGTGTTAGATTTCAAAGAATTTTTTTTATGTTTGTTCTTAATGCATTAAAGTGTTATTATGAGGGTAAGACTTGGGAGTTGGGAGAAGTTAATAAATGCTAAGATTATCATTTTTTTAAATCAAAAAATCAGGAAATTTAGATTGGGAGATTGGAGCTCACACAAAGCTTGGGGCTAAAAATCCCCTTTTGCTTAATATATAGTATAGATATAGATATAGATATAGATAGATAGATAGACAGATATAGATGTAGATAGATAGATAGATAGATAGATAGATAGATAGATAGATAGATAGATATAGATATAGATATAGATAGATAGATATAGATATGGAACATACCATTTATATGACACACGGACCAAAGTACTGGGACAACTGTTGCAATTTGCCCTCATCTAAATTAAAGGGATTTAAGAAGAAAAAAAATTATAATATTAAAAAATGTTCACTAAAAAAATATAGATTAAAAATTAATTATCGAAAACTCCATACTAAACAAGGTAATGTTTTCTATTAATTTTGAAAATTTAAAAATTATTATTAATTTTTCCTCTTTTTTTTTTCTCACAAAAAAAAAATAGTTACATTAATTATCTTCTTTTTTTTTTTTCTTTTGTGGAGAGGGGTTTTAACTTGCGATTTTCCTAAAATGGGTGTTTTAGACAGAAATGGTAGAGTTGGTTCAGACAATGAGAAAAAGTGCTTATGCAAGAGGCGCCTTCACTATGAGAAAGAATAGTCGATTTTGCATAGGGTGCCTTCTTGGATAATAGCTTCAATATTTGCATGCATGAAGGGCTTAAGTGTGAGACATATGAGAGGGGCTTTAGTACGAAAATAAAAGAAATGGTTTACAGAGTGTCTTCTTGCTTCACGACTTCAATACTTGTGAGAGAGGAGTAGGCTCAAGTGCAAGAGAGAAATGAGGATTTGTAGGAAGTGTCTTCTTAGGTCACAACTTGAGTGTCCATGCACATGAAAATGAGTGATAAGGGTCAGAGTGTGTCTCTTGGGGTCACAGTTTCAGTGCTCTGAAACACAAAACTATAGCATTTTAATAAAGAGAAATAATTAGTGATAAAATATTTTTTGTCTCCTTAAATACAAGAATAGAAAATTTATTATTGGTGACGAAATATTTTTGTCTTCAACAACATAACCTTATGAGACGAAAAATATATTCGTTGCGCAATCAATCAGAATTTATTAGTAATGAAATATTTTCATCTCCCACAACTTATTCTTCCAAGACAAAAATATATTTGTCGCCCATTTAATAGAAAGATGAAACGACATCGTTGACATAATGGAGTGTTTATTGGTGACGAAATATTTTCGTCCTCCATAACTTATCATTCCTAAACAAAAATATATTTGTCGCCTAATAAATGGAAATATGCAACGACATTGTTTAATAGGTAGGGAATTTATTGGTGATGAATTACGTTCATCGCAAAAAATATGTATATTTTGTGACAAAAATGTTCGTCCCCAATGAGTTAAAATAATTCGTGCCAATGCAAATGAAATTGGCGCCAGAATTTTGGAGACAAATTTTTTTTTCGTCTCCTATACGTTTGAGAAAAATTAAAACAAATGACAAAATTAATATTTTGCCATCTTTGGGTTAAATTTTAAGACAAAAAAATTTCGTCACCAAATTTTGTCACAATAGCCGAGATTTCTTGTATTTTGTTTCCTTGTTTAATTATTATTATTATTATTTTCTTTTTGTGGAGAGGGGTTTACTGTAAGAAAGAATAGTAGCTTTGCACAAAATGTCTTCTTGGATAATAATGTTTGCATGCACAAATGGCTTAAATGTAAGAGAGAATAGAGGAGCTTTAGTGCAAAATAGAAGAGATGGTTTATAAAGATTGTTTTCTCGAGTCACAACTTCAATACTTGTGAAAGAGGAGACTCAAGTGCGAGGGAGAAATGAGGGTTTGTAGAGGGTGTCTTTTCAAGTCACGACTTTAGTATTTGTGTGTGTGTGAAAGTAAGTGATTAAGGTGAGAGTGTCTCTTAGTTTCTGACGACATTTTAATAAAGAGAAATAATGAGTGATAAAATATTTTCGTCTCAAACTCATATGTTCGTTGCCTAATCAACAAAAATACAAAAACAACGTTATGTGGGGATGGAGAATTTATTGGTGATGAAATATTTTCGTCTCCTTCAACTTAACCTTATGAGACGAAAATATATTCGTCGCACAATCACTCAAAATGCAACACGACACATGGAGAATTTATTAACGACGAAATATTTTCGTCTCCCAAAACATATCCTTCCGAGACAAAAATATATTTGTCGCCTAATTAACAGAAAGATAAAATGAGCATGAAGAGTTTATTGGTGACGAAATATTTTTGTCTCCCATAACTTATCCTTCCCATAATTAACAGAAAAATAAAACGAGCATGAAGAGTTTATTGGTGACGAAATAT